GTAAGGCATTTGCCTTGTGCGCAGCCAGCCCAGCCGAGCTGGGTTCGATTCCTCCTCCCCTCTCAGAGAGCCCAGCAAGCTACCGAGAGTATCTCACCCACACACCGAAGCCTGGCAAGCTACCCATGACATATTAAATATGCCAAACACAGTAACAACAAGTCTCAAAATGGAGACGTCACTGGACCTGCTTGAGCAAATCGATTAACAATGGGAGGACAGTTTTGTCTGTTTGACAGATTAAAAAACAAAGAATACCATGATTTATCTAAAAACATTTGGGGATAATATTTTTAAATAAATGAGATGGGGGGCAGAGAGATAGTGCAGTGAATAAGATATTTGCCTTGTACACAGCAGACCTAAGTTCAGTCTCTGGCCTGTCAGGGACCCTGCAACGCTGTCAGGAGTGATCCCTAAACACAGAGCCAAGTAACAAGCTCTGAGCACCACTGGGTGTGACAGAAAGAAAGAAAGAAAGAAAGAAAGAAAGAAAGAAAGAAAGAAAGAAAGAAAGAAAGAGAGAGAGGGAGGGAAGGAGGCAGGGAGGGAGGGAGGGAGGGAGGAAGGGAAGGAAGGAAGGAAGGAAGGAAGGAAGGAAGGAAGGAAGGAAGGAAGGAAGGAAGGAAGAGAGGGAGGGAGGGAGGGAGGGAGGGAGGGAGGGAGGGAGGAAGGAAGGAAGGAAGGAAGGAAGCACAATTACAATTAGATGTGGCTTCAAAATCAAAACAAATGAACAAACAAACAAAAATCACCTTTAGTAGCTATGTCAGACATAAAAGAAGTGAGTAGCTCTTTCATACATAAAGATTTGTGATGCATCTCAATTTTTGCTTAAAGGATATAACTTCATATTTTATATATCTCCAGAGATTTCAGCATATTTTTGCATTCCATTTTATGAATGACATGGAAAGCTTATTTTCCTTTTTTATGTATCATATACACATATATACATATGTATACAGTGTAGCAGTGAAATAAAGGTAGATACACTTTGGTGGGTGCTAAAGGATCTTTGCACACAAGAGGGAAATGTGGAGTCCCAATGTGAGAGAAATACTGTACATCACATGCTGTATTCTCTGAGATTCAGAAAAAATGACAATTTGGCCTCTCCGAGAGAACTGGGACTTCTGATCCTTCTAGCTATTATAGCCCCAGTGTGTGCCTTACCCTATCTCAGAGTTAACATCTCTGACCCTCTCTCAAGACCAAGATTCAGGATTCTATATGTGGTTCTATAATTTACAGATGATATCAGTTTCTATAACCAAAATAACATGCCTAATATTAGCTCAGTGAAGAAATTCTATTAGAACTGAATTTCTGAAAACAAATAAGAATAAATACACAAGCCATCATAACATATGAGACAGAGCAAAAATAATACTAAAAGGAAAAATTTTAACAATGAAGTTTTACATTTACAAAGAAAACAAAAAGAAAATTAAGTTCAAGTAAATAATCTACCTTACCATGTTAAGGAATTAGGAGAAAAATGTTAAACTTAAAGTCATCAGAAAGAATGAATTTTTAAACTCACATGATGTCCCAAGACTGAATTAAAAACAAGTAAACAAACAAACAAACAGAAAGCCTTAACAGGCTAATACAATAATACTATTGAAAAATAAATCATAAGTCTCTCCAAAACAAGTTTGTGTGCAAATGGATTTAAGGGTAAATTCTACTTTAAATAAAACCCCATCTTTAAAATACAAGATCATGTGGGGGGCCAAGGAGATGACTTTGAGACCCAAATTTGATTCCCAGCACTACAAGGTCATCTAGCACTGCGAGAAGCAAAACAAGCAAACAAAATCAAAGCCCCGAAGATATGTTTTCTATCTTTCTTAAGATCTTTAGGAAATCTGAACAGGAATTCTTCCAACTACTTTATGTGAGGAAAACACCAAAAGACAAAAACCAAAAGCAGTAAAAACTAAAAAGAAAAAAAATAGAAAAGAAGAGAGAGAGAGAGAGAAACTGAATATCAATATGCGTATAAAAACCTAGATGCAAAGATTTTCAATAAAATGTCAATGAGCTGAATTCAACAATACATTAATATTATCATATACCATAAACAAGTGGTATTTATTTTTGGGATGTTAAACCATATCAAAAAGAAAATTTTTTTAAAAATCACATGATGACATAAATAGATGTAATTTATGATCAAAGCATAATGAAGTGGAAGGTATTCCTCAATATGGCAAATGCCATATATAGCAAACTCAGTAAATATCACACTTATTTAAAAACAAAATGCTTTTCCTAAGAAACAACAAATCAACTGTGTGCATTCTTCCCACTATTATGAAATACAGTAGTCAAAAGTTTCAGTCAAAACAGTTAGCTAAGAAAAAAAAAAGTAAAGGAGATTTAACTTTAAAAAGTAAAGTTCAAAAAGTAGTTAAGTATCACATTTTATAAATAACATGACAATATGTTAAGAAATCCCTGACAGTCACCATAATACTAGTAGAAAAAAAAAGTTTCAGGGAAAAAATCTGTATAATTCTAAATGTTGCATTTATAGAGTAAAATAAGAAACTAAAAGAGAAACCAAAATCTATATCTCATTTACTATACCATCAAAAATAAGTATTTAATAGTAAGTTAACAAATAAGGTTAAAGATATACATAGTAAACTACAAGTTACCATAAAAAAGGGAAGCTACAAGGAAATGGAAAAAGACTACATGTTCATGGTTTGAAAGAACTGTCATTGTTAAAATGACCATTTTACCCAAAGCAATAAATACATTTAACATAGAATAGACACTGATCAATTTGTGTGAAGCCACAGAAACTCCAATGAGCCAAAGAAATTATGTGGAGAAATAAGATGAAGGGCACTGCATTCCCTAACTGTGCATATAAAAAGCAAGAGTATCAAATCAGTTTAGTACTGGAACAAAGGTGGATTCTCAGACCAATGGAAAGTTAACTTATAGCAAAGAAGGAACAAAACTGTCTCAATAAATTATTTCTGGAAAACTGGGTTAGCCACAGGCAAAAGAATCACAAAAGTTAACTCAAAATGCATCATATAACTAAACGCTCGACCCACATTTTAAAAATACATCAAAGAAAGCACAGGCAGAAAAGTGCATAATAATGACTTCAGTGGGGAGTTTAATGACTTAATACAAAAGTAAAAGCAATGAATGGGATTAGATCAAAGTAGCTCTGAGTCACAAGGTGAGGAACAGATGGAGAATGACTGCATTCATTTGTGGTATATAAAAATAATATATAGTAGAAGACTAATATCCATGTCCAGGGAAAACAGGGGCTAGGAGGACTGGTCAATGGTTGGAACTAACCACAAGTGTGTGGGGGGCTGAGGGCAGGTAAGGTAGAGAAGAGACTAGTATGACAGAAATAGCAGGAAATGATCACGCTGGACAAAATCTGAATGATAAAACTAGGTGAAGGGATATTCTTGATAACTTTCAGTACCAATACTGCAAATCACAATGCCCATGAGGAGAGAGGGATAGAAGGAGAGAGAGAAGAAAAAGCCAGAGAGTGAAAAGTCCCTCCCATAGAGGCAGGCAGGAGGTGGGGGGTGATAGAAGGGAGCCTGGGGACACTGGTGCTGGGAAATGTATACTGGTGGAGAAATGGGTGTAGGAATACTGTATGACTGAAATCTAATCATAAACAGCTTTGTAAGAGTGATTCAATAAGTAAAAAATTTAAAAGTAGCTCTGTACAATAAAAGCTAAATGGTAGAGAAAATATGCATATCTGGGACTGGCGTGACCATATAGTGGGTAGGGTACTTGCCTTGTACTCGTGACACTCAGGTTTGACACCCAGCATTCAATATGGACCCCAAGCAATAGCAGTAGTTATTCCTGATTGCAAATCCAGGAGTTAACATTAAGCACCGCCAGTCTGGCCAATAAAGAACCAAATAAACAAAAAATATGCACATCTAGGAAAAAAGATAATATCCAAGATAAGTTGAAAACTGAAAAAAAAAACCAACAACAAAAAAGTTTACCAGTAAAATGGCGAGAAGTGTTACACAGTCGCTTCTTCAAACAAGATATACAGAAGGCAAATAGGTACCTGACAAATGTGTATTATCAATGATTATCGGGAAAACGAAAGTTAAAATGCCAAAAAGACATGTCATAACAGTGAGACTAAACTATGTGAAAAATATTGGAAACATGTAATGAGAAGATTTAGAAAAAAAGGAGCCCTCATTTACTTTTGGTGGAGATGAAAAAATGATTTCAGTCTTTATGAAAATCAGTATGGAGATTTTCCCCCAAAATTAAAAATAGAATTAACATGAGATTCAGCAATTTCACTCCTAGTTATCTATTCCAAGAATATAAACCATTCATTGAAATTATGTATGCACAGCAATTTTCATTACAGCACTATAGAAAATAACAAAAATCTGAAAACCACTCAAGTGCTCAATGGCAGATGAATAGAGAAGTTACAGTATGGGGTTGTGATGTTCAAAAGATATTTGCATGAAAAACACTAACAGTATTGCAAATCCTGGTACCTCAATAAAAGTAATTTTAAAAATCAGCCTGTCAAGGAGACAGGCCTAGCGAGATATCTATTAGGGTTGTGGAGGTGGGGGTGGCCTTCAATGGACTCTTCAGTAGACTGTTGTTTTGGCCAGTATCCCATTCTGTACAAGGTTTTCAATATCTTTTGTGTTTTCAATATTCTGTTGTGAAATTATAAAATTGTTTTGTCTTGGTGTCATACCGAGGTTAGAGAGAGACTATCTGTGGTATTAAGATAGAACCCATCTTGGTCACATGCAGAGAAGTTTTCTTACTCACTGTACTAAGTTTTTTTTTTCTTCATGTTTAGCTTGTGCTTATTTTACCCTTTGGAAGGGGTATCAGGTGATGATAAGAAAATCCACTTTTCCAGCTCTTGATTTGTTACTTAATCTGCTACCGAAATTTGAAAACCTGTATATGTAAATAATCTAGTAACTCCTTACCTGTCAGTCAGGCTACAGATGTCTATTTGCAGGTCATGGAAACTGCCCAGCTTCTCCTGCTGCACTGCGATGAGATCCACCTCCTTGTGGCTAACAGAGATGAGCCGCATGCAGCCCTGAAATCCAGGATTTCTGCATCCAGAGCCAGAGTTGCTATCAGGACAGCCTAAAAGGGCAAGCATACACACACACAAACACACACACACACACACACACACCACAAAAAAAAAAAGTTACACCACAGTGTTTATTGTAGAAACTACCCCTGGGAATTACACTCCTCTTCCCTTTGGAGCAGGACAGAGTGCTAGGAAGTTGACAGGAACAAGAGTTTCTGGTATTGGTAACAAGAAAAATACAAACTAAGGCCAAATTTATGGAATGACCAGAAGAAGGTAAGGGGTAAAAGTATAGAGTTAGTGAAAATCTGTTTTAAGCAGAACTTGGTTTTCTTTTTAAAAGCATAGGTTTCCGTGCCCATGCTCCAGACAGTTCCTCGCACCCAGATCCACCCAGCCTGCCTGACCCATGCCATCCTCCAGTGCTTCCTGCATCCACCCCATGTGCCAGGTGAGTGACCAGAAGCCGGTGGCCATTCCTCCTTTTACGCTGCAGTCAGCCTCTCAGACCAGGATACCACCTACAGCCTGGCAGGGGGCATGGCCTCTGTGGCAGGGGGTGTGGCCTTTACAGTAGGAGGTGTGACCTTGGGGTGGGGCCAGTAATCTTCCCCATTCCTGGCACCCTGGAGTCACATCCCACTCTTCATTACTTAATTCCATGAAGAACATCCTAGCTATTTCAAATACAATTGGCCAAAAGTCCACTAGTCTATTACAATTTCACCAAAACACCAGTGAACATAAGAAGCCACACAAGCTCATTCTAATAAAAGATCACAGGTTCACCAGAGGCCTCACATATAGAGGAGCACCTGAGAGGAAGGACTTATAGAAGGTGGAAAACATGACCACCATCAAGTGAGCTCATCCAGAATACTTTCTCGCAGCAAGAGGAAATAATGATAGTGAACTAGAAGGCCCCACCTCCATATAACCACGACAATATAAAGAAGCAGCTCAAATTCCCACAGGAGGAAAGGATTAAGAGAAGAGTCCAGAAGCCTCAGCAGGCGTTACCCACAAATACAATCTCTCCGGTAAGGGATTTAGAGATGAAATTTTGAAGATGTTCAATGAACTCAAGGAAATGGAAAAGGCATACAGTAAGTTAAAGGAGGACATGAAAGAAAGAGTGGAATGACAGACAAGAAAATACAGGAAGAAATGAGAGCAGAAATTAGAAAGCTACAAACAGAAGTGTCACTAATAAAGGATTCAGTAGATGAAATAAAAAGTCAGTGGGTGCCCTCAAACATAGGATGGCTACAGCCGAAGACAAAATCAGTGAGCTTGAAGATGAGCTACAGAAAGCTTACAGGCAACAATAAATAATGGGGAAAAAACCTCAAAATAGCTCTGGAGTGAATCAGAGACCTAGGGGGTGAATCAAAGAGAAACAACATTAGAATAATTAGAGGACCAGAAGGACTGGGAGGCTAGCCCAATGAAAAAGTCACAGTTAAAGATGTCATTGCTGGAAAGTTCCCAAAGCTGGAGAATGCAGGCATCCAGATCCTAGGACCCGGAGGGTGCCAGCTAAAAGAGACCCAAATAAAAAGACTCCAAGACATATCATAGTCAGAATGATGGATGCCACGGATAGAAACACAATACTGCAAGCAGCAAGGTCAAAGAAGAAAATCACATACAAAGGAGCATCCCTTAGATTTACAGCAGCCTTATCAGAGGAACCTTTCTAAGCCCAAAGACAATGGTGAGATGTAGTGAAAAAAACTCAATGAAATGAACGCCTCACCAAGAATACTATATTCGGCTAAACTCTCACTCAAGCTTGAAGGAACAATACACTATTTCATGAATAAAAAACAGCTCAGGAACTTCAGACTCAAAACTAACGTTAAAAGAACTAAATGAGCTACTGTCAGACAAGAAAAAAATCCTACAAGCACAAAAAAACTCTACAGAAAGATGGCACAAATCCCCATGGCAATAATCTCTCTCATTATCAGTGGTCTAAATGCACTAATTAAGAGACACAAAGTGACAAAAATGGGTTCAGAAACTGAACCCAACATTCTGCTACCTATAAGAAACACATCTGAACAGTCAGAGCAAACACAGACTCAATGGTCAAAGGATGGAAAACAATCCTGCGAGCAAAGAATTCCCTCAAAAAAGTTGTGGTGGCCATCCAAGTATGTAACCTCATGGATTGCAGGTTGAAAAAGACTAGAAGAGACAGTGAAGTCTATTTTTAATAAACAATGGATATGTACAGCAGGAAGAAATCACAGTCCTAAACGAATACACACCTAATGAGGGACCAGCGAAATACTTAAAACAGCTGCCAACAGTTTTAAGTAAAACATTGCTAGCAACAAATAGTTGTTGGAGACTTCAACACCGCCTTGTCACCTCTGGATAGAGCAACAAGATTAACACTCAGCAAAGAAACATTGGCTTTGAAGAAAGAGATAGAAGAGAGAAGGTCTACACAGGACTTTGCATCATCCCCAAAATGAATACACGTTCTTTCCAGTGCACACGGAACATTTTATAGAATAGAGCACGTGCTGTGTCACAAAACACACCTCAAGAAAATCAGAAAGATAGACATCATATAACTATCCTTTCAGACCACAATGCACTGAAGATAGAACTTAATCATGCACAGACACAGAGAACCAAATCACCTGGAAATTAAACAACTCAATGCTGAACAATGAGTGGATCAGAAAGGTAATTAAGGAAGAAATTAAAAGCATAAAGAATGACATTACCATGATACTGAACTCAAACTAATGAGCAGGTTTGATAAGAGGTACTAAATAGAAAGTGTTTGAAAATAAAATGAAATAAAAATAAATGTCATAAATTGAAAGTGAAAAATAAATTTTGTTTATTAAAATTCATGCTAAATACCTAACTTCTGTGTGTCTGTAGGCATGCGCAGGCATACTTTTAAAGAATTTTTATAACAATTGTTTTGCACCTCTAAGATTTATATTTACATTTAAAATATTTTGTTGAACTGGACACTTCAGTCAATATCATAAAGAATTAAGAACTATCTTGTATTGCCATGTCAATGGAAAATATGAAGAAAAATATATAAGAATACTCCTTGTAGGGCGTTTGTCTTGCAGTCTGCTGACCTGGCTGATCTGAGTTCAATTCCTCTGCCCCTCTTGGAGAGCCTGACAAGCTACCCAGAGTATCTCCCCCGCACAGCAAAGCCTGGCTTCCCATGACGTATTTGATATGCCAAACACAATAACAACAAGTTTCACAATGGAGATGTAACTGGGCCCGCTCAAGCAATTGATGAACAACGGGAGGACAGTGCTACAGTGCTACTCCTTGTAGCATCGATTTTTTTCAATAATAGTAATTTTCACAACTTCTGGTACAGTCCTTGACTGTCCCATTATAAATTACAAACCACAATATCTACATGGTTGCTTTGTTTTATTCCAATGGAATTTGCAAGAAAACAATGTTCTTTTAATAATGATAAGAAAGGAGATGCTTTAAAATAAAAATCACAGCAAGATGGAATTTAAACCTTCATCCATCCCCTGCTGTGGGTTAACAGAATCTTGAGAATTGCCACACGCTGCCCTGAGTTTACCTCTATTAATCACAGCTTCTTGTACACTGCAAGTTTAGAATGTAAAGGAGTGGACATTTAGGAAAAGGACTATTACAATGATTACAAAGAAACAATCATGGGACTGGAACAATAGTACAACAGGTGAGCATTTGCCTTGCACAGGGCTGACCAGGTTTCAGCCTGTATGATCTCCAGAGGACCATAAGGCGTGATTTCGAAAACTCAAAGCCAGGAGTAACCCCTGAGCATTTCCAGGTGTGGCCCCCCCAAAAAATTAAAAAACATTCAGAGGGGCCAAAGATATGGTTGCTGTACCTACAAAGAAGCAGTTGTTGCAAAACGCGTTTGTGACAGGCAGTGACTGGGAGAACAAATGAACATCTCTACTGACCCCAGTACCACTCCATTCTTTATTGCCTTTGGGTAAAACTTTCCCTGGCTATAGGGAATTGACTCTCCTAAGGTAATGCTCTTCCCCAGAGATAACCAATGTTCAAAGGGACAATGGATACAATCGTGACCTAGACACATTTTCTCATCTGGGACTCCCTGGAAGGGATTCCCAGCACCAATATCTCATATAGGATCACTGAGTCATTACAAACTTACCACCAGTCAGCCTACTCCGCTGTTAATCCATCTGTTCTCTCCACCCTTCTAGGGGTTGTTGGCAAGAATTAATCTCACTCAACCACCTCCGCACAAATCTTCCGTGAAGAGGGCCAGTATAGTGCCGTTGGGCACTTGCCTTGCATGCGGCTGACCCGGGTTCAACCCCAGGCACCACATATTGTCCCCTGGCTCCTGAAGACAGAGCCAAAAGTAAGCTCTGAGCACTGCTGAATATGGCCACCCAAACAAACAAGCTAAATCTCCCACGCAGAGGAAGAGTCCTGAAGAATCCAACACTGTAGCAGTGTAGGCTATTATCACATAGCACTAATTTAACTGAATGTCTTATTTTTGGTAAGCAAACATGAATGAGACACATTATTTCAAAATATTTAGGCTTTTGTTTATTGTTTTGCTTTGTTTTGTTTTCAGGCCACACTCAGCAGTACTCAGAACTTACTCCTGGCTCTGTGCTCAGGATACATCAGTTCTGGGTGCTGGGGATTGAACCCAGGGTGGCTGCCTGCAAGTGCTCTACTGGCTTACAATCCCGCCACCAGGAAAATATTCAGATTTTACTTCCCAAAAAAAATTGTGTTACTTCCCCAATTTTTTTTTACTTCCAAAAAAAATTTGGAAGTAAAACAGATTTTATTTGGAGGTTTTGAAGGGAAAGAGGAAGAGAAAGTGGGAGCAAGTGGACAGTATTATGCTCAAGAGAGAACCTGGGCTTCTCCAAGGGCAGAGAGAGCCCCTATACACATCCGAGCATTAGACAGGAAAGCATGAAAGTACACATCTCAAGAAAGGAGATGTGGTGACAAATGAGCTCCGACACCACATCTGCTTGGCCACATG